GAAGAAGATAAGATGCTGCCTGAAGATGCACATAACTTCAAATGTTTTCACATATAAATGATTTATTTATTTTATTTATTTTTTTCTCTCAACAAAATATTTATTCTAAAAGGTGAATATCATCATTATTTGGACATTAATTGTTGGTCAAATGCTCTTATTTTCACTTCTTGTCATTCATGCCAAGAGTATTCTTCACACCATCAATTGCACCCTGAGCCATATGGGCCATTTGTTCTCCAGTCTGCAATTTTTTACATATAAAATAAATAAAATAAATGAGTTAATAATATTTAATTTAATAAAATAAATTAAATCAAAGATCAAATAAATAGAAAATAATTTATTATCCCATTAATAAATTAATTAAATAACCTGCTGAAAGAATCCAGCTGTTTCCTCCTTGCTACGTTGGGCCTGCCCTTGGGTTTCTCCGACAGCTTCACAGGCTTTGTCGTGGGCCTGATTTGCAGTGCTCTTAGCGGACTCAACCCACTGCTCAGTCTTACCCTGCCCAACACACACACACATGCAGCAATTAATTGTTTTGTTTATCTTTGTATTAATTATTTGTTTCTTCATTAAAAAAAGATAATAGCATATAAACAATCAAACATATAATGTAATTATATGAGTAAAAATATTTCAATATTTTACTCTCTCATGGTTTTTATATTGGATCAATTATGCAAACAAAATCTTATTACAAATTTGAACCACCATCTAACATGGTTTTTATCGGTATTTTACGGTGGTCATACCGATACGTGGACCTGTAATAACGGTGGTAGTACCGATTTAGCAAATATAATGATATATATAAATATACATAAAAATATATAATACCAAATGCAAAACAGTAAATAAATAAATGATCATAATCATTAAGTTCAACATCTCAATGCAATATAAATGTAACATTTTAACTATCAGTTTTTTTTTTTTTTTACATTAATAATTTTTTTATTATTGGCCGGTATTTTGCAGTTTTTACGGCATGATCCCGGTACAAATTAACCGGTATAACCGTAAACCCGGTATTTTGTGTGTAATTGTATCGTACCAATGGCCGGTATCCGGTATTATCGGTTGGTACGGT